TAAAAAAACATGTTTAGGGGAATAATATTTTATGAGTTGGAACAATTTGGTGCAGACCAAAATAAAAGTTTGGATCTTATGAATTTAAATCTGTTTTCATAAGGGGACTGTTGGGCCTTGGGAGAAATGTTTGTGCCATTGTAGTTGTTAACTATTACATTTAAGAGCTGAAAAAAAGGCAACCTCCGTAGTTTTCAAGGTAATGCAAACCAAATTAAGGCTGTGGCTTTGCTCAGTAAAACTTTCAGCTGGGCAAAATGTACAAATAGTTCATAATTACAATGTCTCTAGTCTCACATAAACCTCTGAATCCATCGTGAAAGGAACTACGGTAAAACCCCTTATTATGCCACTTATACAGTTTTATGTTGTGCACATCCCTCAGTATGACGGAAACGGGATCAGACAGCCGCACAAACAACAATTAAAAGCCTGGTTAAGTTTGTTCTTCCTGATTAGCAGCAAAGTTGTATCCTGAATACGCAACAGAGCCTCCACAACAAAACGCCTGTTGATATGCATTTGAGATGATCAAGGCTTCCCTCGAAAGCTGCTTCTGTCCCTCCCACAAAACAACCCCTTATCCAAGGCCCTTACGAATAAGGCCAGTCGCTTTACAGAGACAGATGGTAATGGTGTTGTCGGTCAGGGACTGGGAGAGCCATGTGTTTGCAGCTCTCTGTTGCTCAGTCATAACAATATATAGTCAAATGAGGTGATAGATTCTGATTAGGAGACATAAGGGACATCAAAAGCCTGCCAGGCATGTAACACATCATCTGTACAGGAAGACAAACACGGGTCCTCCACCAGTCACCAGTCATCCTTCATGTGATTGCCTTGAAATGTGGTGGCGATGAAGACAAATGAAAAACACAATAAGTTATGGTCAGCACAGAGCAGCGCACTGAGGATGGAAGACGTCGTAACGAGATATTTCCCTATGTCTGCTGATGGAAGTTAAACACAACTTTGATATTATTGATATTCAAATGTTTTTTACGTTTTACAAATCTATGTCCACTTTTCTCTCCAACATGTAACCCATGTATGATTCTGTATATTTTGTAATGTATCTTCTGTGTATATTTTGATGATTCATGTTTACAATCACTCCAACAAACAAACAATTCTAGAATCTCCAGCCAACCAAACATGTCTTTGGACTGTGGGAGGAGGTTGTGGTATCCGGAGAAAAGCCACACAAACACGTTCCTATACATGTAAATGGATTCATCTTGTTATGCACGTTACATGTCTGAAAGTCATGTGACACGATGCATTTTGATCGATTGCTGTCAGATCCTGTTTCCAACAACCTGACCATTCATGTAAGAAACGTCCACAAACTTAAAGGTCACATATTGGATTTTCCACAGACAGCCGTGTATTCTGTGTCGGCTCACTCGTCTTGGAACAAGACACTGAACTCCTTTCTGCTGACTCATTATGAGCAACACGGGATAAAAATGTCGGCTTAATGTTTAAAATGTAAATGTGCAGTGGGAGGGAAATAATCCAATAAAGGCGGCATCAACGGTTGTCATAACAACCTACATGCTACCTTTAATGAGGATTCCAAGACCTAAAGCATTTATGAGTTCTAATTTTAGCGAATATTTAATGCAATGTTTACTTATTTTTGAGTGCACTGATTTGTTTTGAAGAGACTACTGTGTGGTTGATGATGTTGCCTGTAAACCGTTCATTAGCTCCGGCAGAAACACTGGGCCTTATTCGCCCGTGACTCATCCGTCTGAATTTATAAACAGTAAACAACCCTCATCACAGGAAGTAAATTAAAAAAATGTGTGATCCCTAACGAATGATTCTCTGCCAAGCTTCACAGTCTTCCTCAGATATTGCTGTGAATGTGCATTGTTCTCCCTTTATGTGGAAATATTGCTGACATATCATTGGAAAAGCTCGGAATACTATATTAAACAAACAATGCGCTGCAATTTCCTGGAATGGTACACTGATCACCGCCCATGGTCGGAATTGAATTTTTCTGAAATGTGATATTTGAAATGATTACGTCTCGGCGAAGGCAGAGTGAAGGAAAAGAGAGCCATTCATAAATCATTCCTTGACATTGCTGCTTCATTACCCCAAACTCACTTTCTCACAGCCTCTGTGTGTCTGTCATCAAAACTCCATAATCCCTGTCAAAGCTGTTTGGATTGTAGGTTAAACGTGACTCAAACAGGGGGAGAGAGAAGGAGGAAGAGAGGATGGAGGGAAAGAGGGAGGGAAGGAGTGATGGAGAGGACCAAATCTCCTCTGGATGGAGCTCCGCACACTCCTATGATAATTACATCTCACACTAGCTTTCGCTGGCTCCATACGTTTTTTTCTCTTTTTCATAAGGTGCAAATAGGGTACAAATGGATTCAGCTCGTAATAATAAGTAGCTCCAAGTAGAGACAACTGTGCCCTCAGCGAGCACAAGAGAGAGCTCATTGTGGGATTTTTGAGGCTGCCATCAAGCCCCTGTTTTCACCAGAAATGTCAGCTTGATGGATTTAAGTCAAGGTCAAGCTCAGATTAAATGAAAAATGGAGTGCTGTTATGGATCAAATGTTTGGAGAGTAAAAAAGAGAGAGGGGAGTGCTGCACAGATACCAAGGACTGCAACCTCAGACCATGTAAAACTGCTTATGGTCAACAGGGAATGATGTAAAGCACAGAGCGTTTTGGATCCAGTGGGTGAAGGATGAACATATTTCACCTGAAGCTGATCAACACTGATCACCACAAGAAACAATGCAAAGCTAAACAAGGAGCAGCGACACACGTGAACGTAAAAAGTTAACATCTGCAGATTATCTCAAGGATAAAAATACACCATGGGCACCATGCCATCACCACACACAAACACACACACACAAACACACACACACCACCCATCCAGTATCTTTTGTGGCTGTCAACAGATGCTCTAAATTCTGAATTTGATTATACAACTGTAGAAAAAAGTTCATGCATGGGTTTGGGCCACTGCACTGCATGACAGACAGGAGTCACACAACGTCAGTTTCCCTGATTGAAAATGAAATGTAGGTCAAGTTGAAAGAGTGAATAATTCAACAACCACTATGCGGTAATGAAGGCAGAGAGGTCACATCCCAACTCAGTCACGGATTCCCTTTTTTAAACGATCTACGTTATAACCCCCATTTGAAAATACTTTAGATATAGATCAATAGATGGCAAAATTGAGCTACAATTACCGTACAATACTAACATTAGCAAAGTAAGGGCACATAAATATGGAACCCAATGACCATGCCTTGGTGCCAGAAATCGAAGACAAACTTCTCCCATAAGCACACAAATAATTCAACTCTAACTGCATCGTCTCATTTTAATGTTTACGAATGTGGACAGGATCCAGAATTAGTACCCATGAATCCCAAAATCGAAAGTAAAACATTTATATTGACAGATAAGTTAGTTGCCAGTGGCAGGTTTATACAAAAACTACAGGATGGTTTTAAACAAAACTTGCTGGAAGGATGTGGTATGGTTCAGGGAGGAACTCATTAAATGTGAATTTCTTCTTTATTTTCTTTTACATTGCAAGAATTTTCAACATTTTTGTTGATTCTTGTTTGTTCACAGGGAATCATTATTGGGTCTTAATGAAAAAACAACAGGCATGTTTATGAGTGTGCGCAATTAGGTGCAGATCCAATCTAGTGATGTAAATGTGGTTTCATAAGGGGACTGCTGGGCCTTGGCTGAGGTATGCATTTTAATAAGGCTGAGGTCAGCTCTGAGGGCAAAACATGTATCACCACCCACGCCATGTAAAGGTTGACTCTGTATGAAGTTACCTCTGTATAGAGTGAGATAGTAACACTTAATTACGATTATAGTGCTTCCATTGCAATGGCCGCTAGTGACAGGTTGGTATATAAGGAGCTGTAAGTAGGCCAAAGGAGGCAAGCTGTTGTCAGACTCAACGAGTCGGAAGCTATATTTAATTAAGGCAATAGCATGTATAGCATGGTAATAACTGTACATGGTAGGATAAAGTGATTAAATGATAAGCTGAGGTAAGTTTAACCAGCACTACCTGGGATTCATTTCCTGAAGATAAAAGCAAACAAATGCTGCCTGGAGAGACGTGTGGCGGTCGCTGTCCATGGTGCTGAATTCTCTCTCCCTCACCCTCAGTCTGACTGTCTGTGTCCAATGTGCCCCGGGTCTGAGTGTAAGCACACGTTGCCAGTGTCACTCAAGACTGTCAAAGCAAGGCCGCTGCACCAACCTCTGCCGCGCACCCGCTATAATGTCTCAGTCAGGTGAAATATAGGCAATCTCTGTGTGCACAGTGTCAGCTGTTGCAGTCAATATGTCCTTTTTACTGTTTCAGTATGAGCCTTAACAACTACCCCCCAGCAGGTGACGCCCAATGACAATGCCATGACCCATTCAGATAGGTGTCACACAAACATTGGCCCCTCCTATCACACACATACATCAAGCGTTGGACTATCTTCACAGTAATGTACTGTGGCAGCTGATGTGATTGAGTGTGCAGGAAGTGGCGGACTTAACCGTTGTGCTGGTAAAGACAGCGGCTGATTGACAGCGGCCCAGTGAGGCAATCTGGGTGATATAGTGCTTCCAGACAGACTTCTATCTCTTTCAACAGGGAACATTCTCCCATCCTTTATCCAAAACCACATCTAAAAAAAACTAAATACACACATACCATGCATGTACGCTTGCACTTACACACAAATGTAAAGGCAAATATACACCAGCATAGAGACAGTCACAATAAAACATTATCATTTAAATGAGGATAGACTGTGTTTCTTCTCTTCACAGAGCTGTAAAATGAAATGTCAAATCACTCACAACATGCGACCTGGAGCCTGAATTGAGCTGAATCTTGGCTTTTAAAAAAATCTCCATCAAAAACACTTTAATGTGTTTTTTCCCCATCGTTGCATATTGTGATTTTGAAATAATTGAATTTGACTTACTGTGCGAGTTCACATCTGCTGCAGATTTTATCCACACCAATTCATTAAATGTTTCACCCTTTTATCTTCGATGGTTCTGAAAGAGAAAAGAAAAGCGCCCCCTTTGTCATTTCTAAGGAAATAGGTTTGCATTCATGGAACGGATGAACAATCATAACTTATTAATCATTAGCACATAACAAAGAAAAAGAGGGATGATTTTAATTTAAAATGTGTCAACAGTTTTTGAGAAACATGTCAAAATGCAGCAGCAGTTAAGAAATGAACAGTGAGCTGTTTTTTAGTGCGATTTTCTTTTCCTTATAATGAAACAAGCTGCCATTTTATTAAAACCTTTGCTGCATTTTACACGTCATGGAAAAACATAGATTTTGAATATGCTGTGTCTTTAAATCTATTACTGTTTCTATTAGTAATTCAATTTTATATTGCTCTAATAAGGGCGTTTTATGCCTTTATATAATATTCATTGCACACATTTAAGAGAGGCCCAAGGCTCATGACTGTTTCGCTGATTCTTACAGTGGGTTACGCAGCTAAGAATTAAAATTTTCGTTTTCAGTGGGTTAATTTAATCCTAAATGCTCCTCTGGTATATCAACATTAATTAAAGATGGCTGAGAGTGCAGCGCTCTGTGTGTTGGGTTATAAGTGAGCAGTGCAGGTTTTACTCTAAACCTGACAGAATGTGTTTGGAGAGGGTCAAATACAATAAACCTTTTAGATGAGTAATGTGCATTTTGTTTGTTATTATTACACCAAAATATAGAAATAGTTAATCCAGGTTTAACCGAGCTATTGACAAATATGTATATATATATGTATATATCGGCATAGTGGTGAGTAGTTAATGAGCGAATTTTCATTTCTGGGTGAACTATCCCACTGTGTGTAGCCTCATCATCACTATCCTCTGACATCAGATACCTCACCAAAGAGGAGCAGTTCCACTTATCGCATCAGAGGTTAGTATGATATAAGTAATCGATACACTTGTATTGCTCTCTAAGGTATAAAAAAATGGCTCTTCACGGGAAAAGGGTTCCCCACCGCTGTCTTGAGGTGACATTCTTATAGACAAATTCAATGAATTTGATGGACCATTTAGTAATATATGGAACATTCTTTATAGGGGAGAGGCAGATGAAACAGACAACAGTCTCATGCTAGTGAATGCTCCCAAACAATAAGCTCAGAATGCCACTCTCGTTTCCATTTTCTCACTCCCCCCTCAGCCATGCATATTCCCTTTCATGAATATCCTTTGCAATAAATTGAATTCAGCCGTTTTCTGAGAATGCTTTTCCTGCTCAAGTCCCTTTAGGTAACATGAGAAATCAGCAAGAAGAATGAGCTCAATTCAATTATCCTCCTCTGTACTCAGGGGTGCCAAAGAGCCTTTAACAAACCGGAGATGGCTAAAGTCAATTCAGGTAAATGGAGTGAATCTCACTCAAGTATTTAGGTAGGGGATAAGGAAGGAGGGACCATATCTTGCTGCTGAAAAAGCTGACAATATAATCTGCCAGTGAAAGGGATAAAGCTTGGGAGGCCACAACAGCTTTGTGCCAACAACCGTCCTCATCAGGGAAACAGGAGCGAGTCTAGTGTTACGTTTGTTCCACTCACCAGGCTTTATCTTCTTTGTTCACAATGCAAGATGACAGCTTTGATTTCCAGCCTTGTCTTCTTCCAGAATACTACACCTCTGACTTTAATGTAGAACCTATGCCTTTGCCATGGCCAATCACAAACATTTTGTAGACATTTGCTTTCCTGCTCAAAACTGTCGCCTTGAAAGCTAAAGTAGCAGAACTGGTAGTTTTCAAAACAGAGATTTTCCCCCACGTTGTCTCATTTCATATGTGGGACTTTATTTATTGTTGTCAGCGGAGTGACCTCATTAAATGTGTGGGTATTACGAGCTGCAATAGATTTTGTGGGTGATAATATATCTTTTTGTATTATATACCAAGTGTAAATCTATTTTGGCTTCAAGCATGCATGAATGTATAGATCAGTGAATGTACTGTAACCATGGACAGTACAAAGTAGGATAGCTAAAGGAATAGCTAGATAAATAGATGATATTATATAGATGATATACATGTTGACAAATGTGCAGAGAACAGAAAGGCGACAGAGCAGAGAACACTCTCTCATGTCCAATCCAGTTTGTTGCTGCTGCCCTGTTACTGTGGGGAGCAATTTGCTTGTCTTCCTCCTGGCTGGAGCAGTGGTGGCTACGCTTCCTCTACCCCCAAAACGAAGAGGCCTCTGCTGGGGGAAATCACCTCCCAGTTTGGCCTTTCCACAGCGAGATCCCTCATCTCCTGTGCCACAACCTCTGAAAGCACCTGCCGAACGAACATTACCCAGGCGCTGGGGCTTTAAGCAGGGGAAGATGGATCTTGGGTCTGTCCCAAGCCGAAGCTCTGCACATCCCTCTTCTGTATTCCTAACCATTATTGTCTTGCTGCCTCCCTCGCCCTCCTGCCTCTTCTTTTTTCTCGCAATGCTATTTTCCTCCTCTTTTGTGTGGTAAGCCCCTACAGTGCATAGCTGTAAAATGGGAAATAGATAAATACCTGGAGGTGTGAGCCATATCAAATAAACCAAGCTGATGTGAAGGGACATGTGATCACAATATTTGAGGAGTGTGACAGCAATTTATTCAGTCAGTTGGGGATGGTAATGCCTTGAAGCAGTCCAGTGGAACCAAAAGACAAATGGACACATGTTAGTCCAGTATTTATTGTAGCCATATAACAGTTCAAACTCCTTCACCCATTTCTGTTTCAGAATTTGGCACAAAAATCAGTGGAATGTACAGAGATCATACCAGAAAAGGATGTCAATTTTATTTACTTGCACACTGACAGTCTGGGGTAAATGATTTCCCAGCTCTCTAATACAAGATGACTTCTGTCACTGGCTCAAGTCAGTTAGCTGGTAATACTGTCACATCCATTCCTCCTGCATGAATACACCGCTAATTGTATGAAACCCCAAAGACAAAACATTGAAGGCGTGCTTTGATCTGCCATGTGGGGCTGCGTTTGAGGAGCCAGGTGGTCTGAAACAAACCTGAAAGGGAATCACTGCCCTGCCTCCCTATCATATATTCAAACCTTTCTGGCCCTTATCTCCTGGCCCCCACAAAACGGCTGCTCCATGCGTGGATAAAGTGCGAGCACATCAAAAACACACGTTTTAAAAAGGCAGAAAGCTCCTCAGCCTTTCATGCTGCAATTGTGTTATCCACTTTTTTTTTAATTAGTGCAAACTGTGAAATTCGCAAAACTTGGGAATAACTATATATATAGCTTACAAGTTTTTGAATTTATTTGCTACCTCTGCCAAGGAGCTTATGTTTTCACTCCTGCCCATGTGTTTGCTTGTTTGTTGATTGGTTTGTTTGACAGCAGGATTACACAAAAACAGATTTCCACACAACTTGGAAGGATGGGACATGAGCCAAGAAAGACCCAATAAAATGTTGGTGAAGGGCGGGACAGAGGAACATATCCAGCATCTTTTCTGCGACAGGCCGTTTTTTGACATTTTCCCCAATATCTCAGGAAATAACGCATCGATCTTTGTAATAAAAAAAAATTCTGCCATATTTATGAGACCGATATCTGTGAGTATGCGCAATTTGGTGCAATTTAAGGGGACTGTTGTGCCTTTGCAGAGGTATGTGCTCTACTGAATGCCATTCTAGTTGGGTAATGTTATCTAATGGCTTCTACTGAGATCTAAACTTACACTGACTGGCACGTATTTTTGATGAATGTATTTCAATATGTATTGGCTTCCTTCCCATCTCACATCACAGGACATGTCATTGCTAGACATCGATAGAATTTGAATCATGCATAAGTGGACTATTGGGAATGTTCATAATTGCCACAGTCCAGGATTATTCAGAAACTCACACAGTTAATCAATAAAACTATGGACTAAAAATGAACAGGCAAAGAGATCTGCTGTTGATTGTACAGATTTCTATTGATTTTACACAGTGATAGAAGATCCCTATAATATACCAATTTTCTTATAAGCTGCTATTTATCACTGATTATAAAGATGCCACTATAGCTTTGTCCCTCTCCTTAGCTCTTCTTATCTTAGTGTCCCTCTTGGTAAAATGCTCAGGTTGTTGGTGGAATACCAGAATATATAAATGGAAATGTGCTGTCCAGACCCACAAAAAAGAGGGAATTCAAATTCACCGATCTAAATTCAAGGTGTACACACTGGCCCAAAGAAGCCTAAAATAAAGAGGTGGAACTGAGTAAATAGCGTTCAGCACAAGGCTCCATCTAAAAGGAGGAATTGATGAAATTTCCACCAAACCGAAAATTGCAACTAAAGACTATCTTTCCATTGTCTAGAACAGACATTTGTTTAATGAGTACTTCTAATAAGTAAATAAGAAGAAAAAGGGATAAAACAGGGGTAACTATATAGTTGTAGCTTTAAAGTAATGTTTAGCATGCCAACATTTGCAGATGGAAATATCTATAGTCATAAACCAAGACATTGGAAAAAGGACGAAAGGTGGCATTCGTGACACTAGATTAAAAGTCAAGAGATCCCCAAAGTCATTGGGCTATATTTTCTGAGCAACAACAGTGTCATTGCCAAAATTCTGACAATCCATTGTGTAGACGATGCTTTACTTTAAATTTAAACTGACATAGTGGTGGTAGCTGAACAGTTAAGAAATCACGGCAGACATAAGGATTCATCCTGTGGGTCCCATGACTGTCTGTATTAAATCTGATGACTGAGGAGTTCTAGAGATAATTTTTTACTAAGTTTATAAAGATCTCAGAGTTCATCTCAACATGTCTCTGACGTTTCATACTTAAAACAGCCCCCAGATGCTGCATTGAAGCATGATTGATCACCCTCTTTTATAGCTCTGCTCTGAATAGGCAGTTTCAGTGTTTGGCGGTTTTAATGCAAATGAGTTGTGGCTGACTACACCCCTCTCCGGAAGAGGATGTGGCGTACTCTGGCCGGGGTCTGCCCTGTGTTTACAGTGAGAGCACGTCTACACATGGCTGGC